AGTCTTTTTTGTTTTTAATNAATTGTTTAAAATAATAAATAATTTTTTTTTACTGATTTTATTTCTTAAAAATAATGTCACATCATCATTTTTAACGGAAGTTTAATAGTTCTGTCACTTTTTTTGTCGGAATAAACTCGGATGCTAGGTTGAGAGTTTAAAGTGAGTTTTTTGGGTTTAAAGGTTTATAACAAGAGTGTAATTCTAGTATATTGCTAGAAATGTTAGCTTTGAAGGTTAAAAATGCAATCTTCTTATATATATATACTCGCCAAGTCCACTTTTGTTTCTTCTCTATCTGAAACCAAACCTCCACCCTCTACGAAATTAGAGGAAGAGAAGGAAATGTTGGAAAGCACTAACCTCATCTCCTGCAACTTCCTTCGTCTTCCTCCTCTTAAACCCTCCAGACGAGCCCTGACCCTAAGAGAATCATCCCCAAACCTCGCTATTGTACAATCCAAATTTCTCAAATCCGATCAAATTCTCCATCGCAATAACAGGCGTTTCCCGAAATGCGAGAAGAAGGGTTTCTTCCATGTGTGCAAAAGCTCACTAAACAAGCCAGATCCAGAGAAAACTACTGAATTTTCTCAAGATGAAGGAAGAGACTGGAGTAGCTCGGTATTGCTTTTCGCGCTTTGGGGTGCGCTTCTCTACTATTGCTTCAATCTTGCTCCTGATCAAACACCGGTCTTCTTCTTCTTCTCAATCCTTCAAATTACTAATCGAAATTTCATAGATTGGTCACTTCTCATTTAATTGTTATTGTTTTGCAGACACAAGACTTGTACTTTTTGAAAAAGCTACTGAATTTGAAAGGTGACGATGGTTTTAGAATGAACCAGATCCTTGTTGGGTTGTGGTACATCATGGGTTTATGGCCTTTGGTGTACGGTATGCTCTTGCTTCCCACAGGTCGAAGGTAATCATCATTTCAATGCCTTCTTGTTATGATCTATGTTTCCTTGTTACTGAGTTTGGAGAACTTAACAAGTCTCAGTATATGGATTATGTTTATGATCCCCTTTGTTCGTTCCACAGTAAAACCCCGGCCTGGCCTTTCGTCGTGCTTTCGTTTTTTGGTGGTGTCTACGCTTTGCTGCCTTATTTTGCTCTGTGGAATCCTCCTTCTCCTCCTGTTTCAGAGTCTGAACTCAGACAATGGCCTTTGAATATTCTGGAATCAAAAGTAACTGCCGGGGTAAAACATCTCTCTCCCTCTCTCTTACTAGAGCTATTCTCAAAGTATTATGTAGTGAATGGTCATATCCACATTTCACCCGGAAACCAGAGCAATTACTAGATGCTTCAAGCATGTACCTGGAACCACCATTGCTGTACCTTTGCATATACACGGTGTATGAACTCAACTCAGCTATTCAATCATCAAAGATCCTCACACACACAAAAATCATCTGAACAAGCTTGTCGTTTAGCTAGCTCACTGAATTCAGAGGGAAAAAAATATGTCAAAAGGTTTCATATTCATTGGTTTTCATTACTGGAATTGACACAGTCTATGCATCAGGCAACTCTTCTTGCAGGACTGGGCATAATTCTTTATGCAGTAGTTGGTAATGCCGGTGACTGGAAAGAGTTCTATCAGTACTTTCGAGAGAGCAAATTCGTAAGCCCCAATATATACACTCATTTTTCCGGATATGAAATAATCTATTGCTCATGTTTGACAGAACATGACTACCTTGTAAAATGCAGATTCATGTCACGAGTCTTGATTTCTGTTTACTGTCTGCATTTGCTCCGTTTTGGGTTTACAATGACATGACCACCCGAAAATGGTGAGTTCTATATAAAACTATTTTACGTTGTTTACTTTAAACCCGTTTCATTTCCCTGAACGCACTGCTTCTTTTTCAGGTTTGATAAAGGCCGTTGGCTTTTACCGGTATCAGTGGTGCCATTCTTGGGACCTTCTTTGTATCTTCTCCTACGACCTGCATTGTCAGAGACAGCAGCTCCCGCAGATCCTGTGTCATCTGACCCAAGTCAATAGCAAAATCAATGCTCACTTCATTTGATGACAAGACGAATGGATTGTCCCAGATCCGGAAGAAGTTTTAGAGACCATCAAATATCTGATGCATGAATGCTGTGATGATGATGAGGTTAATTAACATACAGTGCTTCAGCTCCTGGCATATTTATAGATTCAGTACCCACAATGATTTACTCTCTTCTGCAGCTCCATTATTGATGAAATTTGGATTAAAACATATATTGTATTAAAAGGGGAGAAAAAACTCCTCGTGATCAAAGTTTACTATAGATATTATGAGAGGAAAGTCAAACTGAAGTATATGAAGTTTGTCACAAGTAATATAGAATTTTCAAGCATACAACTTGTGGAGTTCATCTTTAAACTGGGCCTTTATCTGCTCTCTCTTTATCTTGAGAGCAGCTGTGACTAATCCTGACTCAGGTGTCCACGGTTCAGGTAGCAACTTGATCTTTGCTGGTATTTCAAACTTTTCGAGCTTTGCAGCCTTTGCGGCCTGAAACGGTAACATTTTGAATTTACATTTAACCAACCAATGTAACTGTGAAGAAACCTGAGACAGCTACTGAAATACAAACCTTGGTAAGAGATTGTTGAACCTCCTTGACTGCTTCACCGTTCTCGCATAGCTCATTCAGTCCACTGTGTTTAACTCCAGCTTCCTCTGCCCATTTCTCTAACGCTCCATGTGATGGAACAACCAGAGCTACACAGTAGCTGTTCATTGGGTCCGCGTGTACCATAATGTTATCAACGTAATTGCTCGAACCCAGAGCTGCCTCCACCTGTGAATTGTGATCCAGACAATGCAAATGCATGAGGGGAGTTTTATCATACCATCCTCCATTTTTCGAATTTAAGTTTTATGGGCAAACCTTTCCAAGGGATACGTATTCCCCGTGTTGAAGTTTAACAATATCTTTCTTTCTGTCGATAACTTCAAGACATCCATCAGGGTGGAATCTCCCAATATCTCCAGTGTAGAACCACCTCATACCCTTCTCATCAACCTGAAATTGTCATGTGGACTCTCAAAAATCTAATATAGCAAGTGAGCAACTATGCCCCCAGACTGTGTAACAACATGCTTTACCTTGTAAACCTCATCGGTTTTTTCTTGATTGTTGAAGTAACCTGCTGTTACACTGTTACCTCCTACCACAATCTCCCCTCGAGGCATTGGTTTGTCTGAAATTCTGTAGCCACCTTCTTCCCAAGAAACTAGCTGCAAGATATATAATTGATGAAGCTTGTCACTCATGATTACAACAACTTTACAGAAGATGACCGTCTTGTGTTGAATAAGATAACTGACTGCAAACCTTAATGTAGTCACAGGGAACTGGAGGTCCCACACGGCCAACAGCAGGGTCGTCGTACTCAGAAAACGTAGCTCCAGCACACGTTTCAGTCAATCCATATCCTTGACCGATGGGAGCGCTAACAGAAAAAAATGCGCAATCACAATAAGAACAAACTATGCCCAAGCGTTGTGAAGTTGCCAAGAAGAATACAGAGAAGCACAAACCACATTCAAAGGTACCAACATCACAAATAATGTAAAACACACAGAATTTATGAAGATTTCAACAGCATTTTCCTAATCCAACATGGGATAAGACTCGTATGCAAACGTCAAATGTGAGAGCAAAGAGGATTCTCTTACCCCATGCAGATATTGATGAAGCGTTGCGAATCAGGAGATAGAGGAGCCCCTCCACAGAGCATAAATCGAATGTGTCCTCCAAGCACAGCCCGTATCTTTTTGAAGACTAGTGCATCCCAAAACATTTTCTCCAAACCCCAGGCACCAAACCAGCTTCCATCTACAGCTGCTAACCGGCGCTTGTATGCAAAGTTAAAGAGGGTCTTCGCCATCCCTCCCTTTTCTTCAACCTAGATTATTACGTACACAAATATAAATGATCCAGTAACTGCAAATACACGCACAACATCGTTGTCACTAAGATAGTACCTTTTTTAGAACTCCGTCTCTGACACGATCAAGAATAGCTGGAACTGCAGTCATGATAGTTGGCTTTAGAACTGAAACATCTCCTTTGGTTCCTTTCTTAATTTTATTTGAAGTATCAGTTAAAGTCATTGCTGAACCATAACCGATGGCACAACCTGAGGTAAACACCACAATCTGACAAACCATGATTTGGTAAGAAAGAGTAAGACAATAAGGTAACAGTTCAAAAAAAGAGAGAGAGAGAGCACAGCAACATACCTCAGCTTCCAGCTCAAATACATGAGCCAAAGGTAAGTAGGCAATATATGTGTCATTCTTATCCAGCTTTGGAATCACCTTCATAACTCCTGCAGCTGCTGCGACAAGATTTCCGTGGGTGATCATAACTCCCTGAGTGAATGCGCAAGATGTAAGGTTAGGATAAATTGCAGTGATAGATAGCTCGGCGAAAATAAAATACGGTTTCTCATATCATAGTACGCCATCCAGAAATTTAGGTAAGCAAAACCAAATGCAGTTGATACAAAACACATAATGAAGAGAGAAGACACAGTCCAACACACACCTTTGGTAGACCAGTACTACCACTGGTAAACATTATAACAGCAACTCCATTCTTCGAAGGTAAGATCGGTTGAACAGGGCTCTTCTGCCCCAGTTTCTCAACTTCAGAGATAGACGAAACAGTTATGTCACCCAGACTCTTGAAGTCAGCAGAATCAACCTCTACTCCATCTTCTTCAATAAAAATAATGTTCTTTACAGTTTTCAAGCTTGACTGTATCGCAGTCAACTTTTTAAGTTGTTTTGAGTCGCATATTAGGGTTGCTACTTGAGTCTGTCAACAATATAATACCAAGATTCAGAGGTCCAGCACCAAATTTAGTAATAAAAACATTGATGCTGATGAAAACTTCCCTACGAACCTCATTGAGTGAGTAAATCAAAGCCTCCTCTCCTAAAGAAGCATAAATAGTAACAACAGTTATGCTCTGCCTGAAACATCCCTGACAAAAAAAATATATTTCATCAACTCAGTAAGGTCTTAAACAAATTCCAAGCAAACCAAAAAAAAAAAAAAAACACAAGTCCAGGGCATTAGCTAATGAACCTGAAAGGCGATGAACCACTCAGCTCGAGTATCTAAAAAGATGGCAACACGAGTATCAACATTATGGCCAACATTGACAAGCCCTGAAGCAAAGTTACAAACACGTTGAAAGACTTCTCCATAAGTTTGCCACCTATACTCTCCAAGATGAAGCTTCTCAAACTTCCTGCCATCACTAGACGTAACAATTTCCTTGTCTATAAACTCTCTAGTCCCAAGCAAGCGATTGCTGGAATGCTTCTTACAAGCCTGCTCAAACAAAGCAGCCATAGTTGTGGCTCCTGACCAAGGAACTTCAACCAACTCAGAAGCCCGAGCATGGCGCATCGCGTAACCTTCCTCGCCGCCAACTTTGAGCGGAACGCCTCTTTTCTTACCCTTTCTGCTCCCGTTCAACACCACGGAGAGCAACACCGGTACTAGTAAAGCCACGATTCCGCCTCCAATGATCCCATAGACTCCATATTCACTACTTTTAGACGACGGTGAAGCCATTGGATTCCCTCCGGAATCTTCCATAAACACAAGGCTACACGAAACACAACAGCAACACTATCATCACAGTGCACAGCAATAATCTACCCGATCCGATGACTGATCGAGGAAATCAAAATCGGCAGATCGCCAAAAGAAGAAGAAAAAAGGAGGATCTAAATGCAAAAAAAAGGAATCGAAGGAATTGATTACCGGAGTGAAACTCGAACGGATCGGAAGTTTTTCTTCGAATCGGATTCCAGAGGAAAGGGAAAGAGTGTAACCAACGAAAGCTGTGGACTCTGTCCTTTCTCGGTTTGTGAATCACCAATCGCGTGTACGCAGAGAGACACGTTGAAGTCGGCAAAATGGAGGGACACGTGGCAGTAGGCAAATGGAGGGACACGTGGATGCTCTTCTGTTTACCTTGGCGTTCAGTGGCAACCGCATACAAGTCTTTGGATTGCGCCACGTCTCCTCAAATCGCGGAGCGTTGAAATTCTGATTATCATTTGAAATCGAAAGCATTTGAGAAATTCTCTTTTAATGGTTATCAGTTTTCACAGTTATTTTCCAATCTTCTAAGGTTTAGATGTCTTTAAACGTAAAGCAGTTTTGAAATGATTTAAGTTTGGAATAGATTCATTCTGATGGATGTTAAATGATCTTTATGAAAATGTGTGAATTGGAATATTATGATTCCTTTGGTAAACGTTGCAGCATTAAGATAGTTTTGCTACCTTACCTGTCACTGGGATGTTCAGAACCAAGCACTACACGAAGCATTTCCGAAACAAAGACACGGGCTTATTTTCTCTTTACTGTCCTAACGATGGCTATATCGCTTAGGAAGAAGATATATACTATTAACTAAGAAAAAGCCCCCATTGAATTCATGTAAATCAACTGGAACCGCGACGAACACTTTCTTCTGTTCGTGCAAGTGCATCTGTTAGCACGTCTATACTCCAGTTCTTCAAGTCATCCTGATGAAAAGGAGACAAGCAAAGTCTGATCACCATTTGATTTAGCAAATACGGTAAAGTCTTGATGATTGAATAGATGCTTTTTTACCTTGCGTACAGGTTCTCCAGTTCTTATTTGCGCATTTGGGCGAGCAAGCTTCGACTCAAAAGGGGTTCTTGGCCTTACTTCTCTAAACTCATCCCACTCCTCACGCTCTAGCATCCGCACCGTCCCTTGCCCAGGTGGTGCATTCTTTATCTTGCGTTCAATCATTTCTTGGGATTTTGAATCATCGATCTGGCAACAAACCAACAATGAAAATCATCAAATTCTTCACATTCATTCTAATCTACAGGAATTGCAAACAAAAAAAGAAGAAGCATAAAGCAATGAGGCCTTAATAGCTACTTAAATCATTGACAAGAAATAAACATTCACAAAGTGATGATAGAAGAAGGCTTACCATCATCAACACCTTGGCAAACAATGCAATACCGACCACGGCGAGGAACATAGGCATCGTTGCTGTGTCCAGATACGATCTTGATTCTGGAACCTCAACTAGAAACTGGTTTTTTATTGGGTTCCTTCGCTTCTTACTTTTTTGCAAATCAATTATCTTTTTTCTTAAGGTCTCAGTTGGGGCATCATTAGACGGTGAATGAAACCTTCTCTTAAGCAATGTAAGAAACTGATTCTGCCGAGACATCATAACCAGCAACAGGAATCTTCTTTCTATGCCAAAGATAAAGAAAACCACAGTTTAGTCAAATTGGAATCAATGAACCGATGGAACCATAAGCACAGCTCTAACATGAGCATCAAGCACAAATTAACTTCCATGGGTGTTTCTGCATCTTTTATTGTACCAAAAGCCTTCTTACAAGAACATACCACCACAATCCCTAAGATTCTTCATGATCCTACAAGGAATATCTTCCCTCAAGCTGATCAGACTTAACGCAACCCAATTACGACCAAGTCGCTATGTTATGCTTTGAATATCAGACAGCTTTATAGACGAGACACGCTAATGAACTATGTTACGAGAACATAGTGACATATCCAAACCAAAGAAGCACAAAATTTCAAGAAATAGTCCACCTTAGGTAGCAAGATGAAACCTAGATGTAGAAATATGGAACGTTATAAGTATCATTACGGCATTTTGGCGAACACTTTGCGTGCAGCTTTTCCACAATACGACATATGCCAAAGATTCGAAATTTGCGCAACAAGGATTAAAGAGAAATCGAAATAGGTACCCAGAAGAAATTGCATTTGAACCAAAAGCAACACTTTCCAAGCGGAACACAATGAACCCATTTAGAATAATTTGGTCGATGATTAAATCCCTTGGCAAGAGAGTGGGAGATTGCAAATGTAAACGTACCAGATCAAGAAGGAATTGGCAGACAAGATGATGTCTTTACTCTTTGATCGCCAAAGACGAGGCCTTAAATCCCTAATGTTCGAAAATAACAACTTCGAGTTTCTTCTGAATTAGGAAACATAATTGTTGAATTTTACTTTGCTCCGAGTCAGTTTTGATTCTTCTAAAGTCGCCGAAATCATACAGTATATTTCGTCTACACCTGAGGCAATCGGATAT